GAGGGGGAGCAGATCTCCCAGTCCGGCGTTGCTCTTCTTCCTTGTCCAAGGCTCTCCGGAGAATTATAATATTTCTTCCCCGAGATGCTGCAGTGAATTTGAGTCCCAGGAATTCAGGCGAACAAAATAAACCGAATAACCCGAACCATTTGTCACGGCGTTGAGAGCAACCGCTGCCTAGGCACCGATGATGGCCAAAAATCCCCTGGAAGGGTCTAAAGAAGACCTGAGCAAAATTTCGGAAGAGGAGATGCTGAGGTGGAGCAAGGAAGAGCTGGTGAAAAGACTGAGGAAAGTGGAGAATGAAAAGATGAACTTAATGGTGGAACACGGCAACTTGATGAAGGACGTGAACCGGCGGCTGCAGCTCCACCTGCACGAGATCCGCGGGCTGAAGGAGGTGAACCAGAAGTTGCAGGACGACAACCAGGAGCTGAGGGAGCTCTGCTGCTTCTTGGACGACGACCGGCAGAAAGGCAAGAAGCTGTCGAGGGAATGGCAGCGCTTCGGGAGGCACACGGCCAGCGTGATGTGGAAGGAGGTGGGCATGTACCAGCAGAAGCTGAAGGACCTGGAGGCCAGGCAGGAGACCCTCCTGCGGGAGAACGTGGAGCTGAAGGAGATGGTGCTGATGCTGGACGAGGAGCGGAGCGGGGCCGGCTCGCGGAGCTCCATCGACAGCCAGGCCAGCCTGACCAACCTCAACGGCGGCTCGGCCACCAGGGACGTGGGGGACGGGAGCAGCACCTCCAGCACGGGCAGCGCGGGCAGCCCCGACCACCATCACCACCACCTCCACCACCACAAGGCCAGCGACAGCAAGGCCGGGGCCATGCGGAGGTCTATGGATGACCTCTCCGCCCCTCTCCACCACCGGAGCATCCCCAACGGCCTCAACGGTGAGACTCTCCCCCACTCCCAGCTTTGCCCTGGGCCCACCTCCCCGTGGCAGGTCCGGTCCCCCTTGGCAGTAGGGTGAGGGATGCCTGGGCAGGGGAGTCCTTGCCATCCCTACCCCTGCCCATCCTTGGTGACCTCTTTGGAAGAGCAGCCTCGGGGGCCGGGGAAGGGCACCTGTGTGCAGGGGGTGGGGGGTGTGGGGTGGTGCTCCTTGACTGTGTTACTGATGTCTGGGGCTGAGGGTTGGAGCCGTTTTTATCGGGAGGGTTGATGTTTTGTTTCGTTTGTTTGGTTGGTTTGTTTGTTTGGGTTTCTTTTTTATGACAAAAGCCAACCTGTGTTTTCATGGTTAAGTAAACACTGATTTTTTGCCATCTCCTCCTCCTCTCTCTCTCCCCTTTTAAATATTTTGGTTTACGTTTGGCTTGTTAGTCTGCTAGTTTGGTAAGGTTGATAAAGAGCCTGGATGAGAGTTTGGAAGCATCTGATGGAAGTGCAGGTCTGCCCCAGAGAGCATCACCTGATAGCTCCATGGGCTCGCAGGGCAGCCTGGCTCTGGCACCCTCAGCAGTTTTGGAGAGGTGCAGCTCAGCTTCTCCCTGTCCCCCTGCTCCGCTTCAGAAGCAGGTTTGTTTGTAGAGAAGAGATTGCTCTCGAAGGGATGCCGTACTCGCAATTTTGTTTAGCCTAGTCATTAAAGTTAGCAACAAGCTCCACTGTGAAATCGTGCCAAGCCTCCTCTGACAGTTTGTATTCAAGCAAAGTTTCTCCTGTTGCCTAACAGTGATCAGGCATTAAAATAATAACACTAGAATGTCTTTAAAATGGAGGGTTTTTTTCTCTGTTGAAACCAACAAGACCAAATACTTGACTTCTAGAAGGAGTAGTTTGGCCAAGAGGGTTCAATAGGAATCAAACCAGGCACCAATCTAGTTAATGGTTGTATATAAGACTCATTTTAATGTTCTTAATCCTCTTTTCTAACCAGAGAGGACTTTTGTTTCTGGTTGGGCTCCCCTTTCCCCTCCTCCAAGCACAGAGATGGGGCCGGAGCCCCAGAGGTTGGCTCTGGCTGGTGTCAGCAGGGGATGTGTTTACCAGATAACTGTGCCTTCAGCTCCCAGAGCTTGTGGTGGTCCTGGTGGGACCAGGGAGTGCTGGTCCTTTGTTTTTGTGATTTATGGCAAGTCCTTATGCCCAAGAGATCTAGGGGCATGCAGCACCGATCAACCATCAACCCAGTTCTCAAGTTCATGAATTCGCCATGCGTGGTCCTGTTGTTGCGGCTGTGTGTCTCCACTCACAGCTGGAGATGTTCTGGCCGCCTCATCCAGTAGACAGGGATTGCTGGTTTCAAGGGTGATCCAATCACCAGATGTTGCAGGGTACAGCAAGCATTTTTAAATGTTTGTTGCTTTTTCCCTCCCTCTCTCCTGGTGCTGTGTAAATCAGAAGTATCTGGTTTGTAAATCTGCAGATGGCTTCTGCTCCTGATGTGACCTGACTTTATTTTCATAAAGCTTTGAGTGCTGTGCACAGAGGGCCGGAGAGCACTTGGCAGATGTTGACTGTGTCATTCCTGTTTTGGGACAGAAGGGCTTTGCGGTTCTGATTTGTGAACCTTAGACCACATCCCTTTTAGGTATCCACAGCTGACTAGGACAAAGCCAGTTGAATTCACTCCTGTTAACTCAGGGCTCTTGTGCATATGGGACACCACAACGGCCTCAGAGCTGTCCCTTAAACCCGGTGTGAGGCACCGTGGGATTCTTCGCGTGGGATTCAAGTCATCCCTGTCTGTGTGAAGAAGAAAGTTTCTGCTGGCAGAGCTTGGTCCTCATTGCCCTTCTCAAACGCTGTGTGTGGGGCGGTCGGTTCCCCGCAGCATCGTTCGGAGGGGACTGAGAGCTGAGTCTCATGTCCTACCCTCTGCAGGGTATGTGTAGGGAGGGGTGGTAGAGTATATGTCTGCACGTATATGTTTGCACGCGTGCCTTTGCACCGTTTCTCATGCTCCTGTATGGAAAGGAGGAGTATGGGCTCAGGCATTTCAGATGTGACCTTAGGTTTTAGTGACTTCTGGTTTTGGGGTGCCTGCGGGAGATGGTCTCCGTGGGAAGCGCTCTCTGCTGCCAACCTGCGCGGCTTCATTTCTGGGGGTGGGACAGATATGATCGGCACTTTTAAAGCTAATAATCCTTGTAAGGATGCAAACAAGCCTGATCTCTCCACTTAGGTAGTGAAGCTGTAAAATGACTTGAATAGTTGTCATTCTCAGATAGCATCGGTATTCAGCAAGGCCATTTCCCTGGCTGTGCCTTTGGAAATGCCTCTCAATACATATGCAAATGCCAAGCTTATCAGGCCCCTTTTTTGACTGACAGCGAGAAGCCTGGGAGGGGGGCTCTCCTGGGCTCAAGCGGCAATTCTGTCAAGCCCTTGACGATGCAGGAGGAGCGAGTGGGGCAGGTGAAGGTGCAAAACAACCCCGGTGAGTCAGGTGGGTGGTGGAGCTGTCACGGAGCAGCCCTGGCAGCGAGCATCCTTCCACGGCTCCTGGTGCCGTCTCTGCGTTCTGTGCATGCAGCTCAGATCTCAGCCTCTTTATACTATTTTTCCCGATTATTTCCCCCCACCCACCCATCCCGAGATAAAACAAAAGGGAGGAAGAGGAGGAAGCGTGGCCTCTCATTTTTAGGTTGCAAACTTCAGGCTGGTGTGCTGTTGTCTCATATCTTTAAAACACTGGATAACTAAACGGTGAATAAAGCAGAAACTGCCCGGCCAGCTCAACCAATATGGCAATGAACAGCCCTCGTATACTTTCTTAGGGAGGGTGGAGGGGGATCTCAAATGGATGCAGGGCAGAATTTAGCATCTATAGTAAGAACGCAGCAGAAGCCTTGGACAGCTGGTGGGGGCAAGGCACGGTGAACTGTTTGCTAGAGCATTTTTGCTTGTAAAAAGCTGGAAAGTCCTGAAATGTGCTGCCCCTGTGAGTGGTGCCAGTGGGGCTTTGTGTTGTGCTCAGCTTTTCTAGGTATTAAGCAGGACTGCTTCACTTGAGTGCTTTTCTAAAGGAGACAAGAGTATGGCGGCTGTTAAACGCTCCTAGGGAGGCAGCTTTATAATGAAATCGTAGCGAGCAAAGTTGGATTAAATATTTCTCATTTTATCTTCAGCAATCCTTTGGAAGTGAGTTGGTAAACGAGAGCTTGATTTATTGGCCCCAGTGACCCACCCCAGTGTGAAGCAATGAACTCTAGTTTTATTAATGTGAATTCAGTATAAATGGTATGAGTTTAAAAAACAACAACAAAAAAAACCCCAAACCAACCTACAATCCACCTTCTCTTCACTTTTCTGAAGTCTGTTTACCCTTATAAACTGACTTTTTGGAAGCTGATACATGGAACCTGATGATTAATTATCCGCTCATGGAAGATAAGGTAATAAGTGTAACTGATAGTGTGAAAAAGTCTAATATTAGATCGCACATGTAATCTTACGCAGCTCTGGATATTCTGCTGAGAGCCAAGAGGAAGTCTACTCGATCTGAAAGTAAAGGGTGTTTCCATGTGTGAGCTGGGACCTGGGCTGCGGGACAGGGGCATCTCCAAGCTACGGGATTGGAACTGGCCAGTTGCATCCATGTTAAGTGATATGCCACAGTTCCCATAAATCTCCCCACCGATCCAGGACAGAAATCATGGCACAGTCGCTGTGTTGTGCTTGTGGGTGCTTTGGCTTTCCATTGTATGCACGGCGGGAGTCTCTGTGTGTGTGCGTAGCTTTTCTGCTCGTCCAGCTTTAAGCAGCCCCGTTGGAGCGATGGCCATTGCTGCCGCCTGGTTCCTGCCAGAATAACGTTTCTGAAAAAAAAGAAAAAAAAAAAAAAAGAAAAATTTTAGACTTATTTTATAACTACAGTTTTATTATTGGGAATTTTTAGAACTAAAACTTTGCTTGAATTCTCCCTTTTAAAAAAAAAAAAAAAGTAAAAAAAGAAGACAGCCACATTGGGTGATATGACCTGGGGGAAGGAAAAAGCCTTCAGGTACCATAGGATATGTCCCTGGACTTCGAGGTATGTGGGAACACTGGGAGGAGTGACTCAAAGCTCCCTGAGGCCAGGGCAACAGCTTCCACTGGTTTTAGCCTTATCTAGATCTGACTGGGACAACTATTTATCCATGTGCAAGCCTGGAGGCGTACAAACTCGCTGGCTGGTGATGTGCCTGGGACAAAATCCTGTGCGTGCAGGCAAAGCTTTCAGGCTTTAATTTCCACACCCTCATCAAGTGAATGTTGTTAGAACTTCTCCTTCACCTTTTACTGAAGCTGTTCACTCTGGGTTCCCAAAATGGGCATTGTGATTTATTCCAGTTGGGTAAAATGTTAATGTATTTCTTCATCGACGTTTACAGTTGTTTTGTGGTGTTTTTTTTTTTTTATTATTATTAAAAGCATCAACGCTTAAAAAGTGGTCAGAGAGGCCCAGAAGAAAGCCATGGCTATGCCAGATAGCCTGTAGTAGCCGAGACATTAATCTCTGGCCTCTTGTGTTCTCTGCTCCAATGGAAGAAGAATGGTCTCTCCGGGTGAGGGGGTGGGAAGATCTCTGCTTCTATTGATTCCCACTTGTAAATGTCCACATATTTACCTAGAGGGTACGATATATTACAGTTAAAATGGTGGCAAAGAGAAATGGCTGTTCCCTGTGGGTTGATATCGATCGGATGTGCAGCTACCCTGTACTTATTTCTCTTCTTCTTCACACAGCCTTTAGGCCAAAGTTCTTTGCTTTTATTAGCGTATTTATAATCAATATACATATTATTTACTGTGACATATTAATGAGGCCTTTGAGATGAGTAGATGCAGGGGCAGAAGCGAAGGGTGAGGTTCATCCCATTTAATTTGAGATATCTCCAATATAGACTTTAGCATCTGCGTCCCCTTGGGCTTCCTTTATCGGCCATGTGGAGAAAGGCACTTT